CCCTGCATCTGCATGGGAGACCTGGAAGAGGTTCCTGGTTCCTGGCTTCGGACTGGCTCAGCTCTGGCCGTTGCAGATACTTGGGGAGTGAATCAGTGGATGGAAGATCTTCTTCTCTGTCTCTCCTCCTCTCTGTATATTTGACTTTCCAATCCCCAAAAAAAAAAAAAAATCTTAAAAAAAAAAAAAGAATGCTGATTCTGGAGAGTATATGCTTCTCCATTATATGTATCTGGAACTTACAGATTAAGATTGAATGAAATCTTTTTTTAGATTCTTTTAATCTCAGTTCACTGTTAAAAAAAAACAAAGTAATATCTACTAGTACATAGGCTAATAAAGGTACAAAGAAAATAATGAGTTTTTTTTTTAAATATGAGTTTGAAAAGTAAATCATTACAATATTAATTCATAATAGTTTGTGATAAGTCAGGGATATAATTTTGGTGCATAACTACCTGCAAGAACATATGGCTAAAGAGCCAACAGAATAGGATGGCACACTCAAGAAATGCTAAAACAACCAAATGGATATGTGAAGTGAAGAAAGAAGAAATAAAGAACAGGAGAAAAACAAACAGCATAGCCTTTATTGTGGCATAGCACCGTCTTCAACACCAGCAGCCCATATAGTGCCACTAAGTTCCAGCTATTCTAGTTCTGATCCAGTTCCCTGCCTACATGCTTGGAAAAGCAGAAGAGGGCCCATGGTTTTCGGGTCCTGCAACCAACATGGGAGATCTAAATGGCGGTCTAGGCTTTTGATTTCTGCCCAGCCACACTTTGGCTGTTACATTAATTTGGGGAGTGGATCAATGGATGGAATTTCTCTCTCTCTCTTTCTTGCCTTTCCTTCTTGCTCTGCAGCTCTGCCTTTCAAGTAAATAAACTGAAATCTTAAAAAAAAATCAAGTTGTATTGGGGCTGGTATGGTGGTGTAGCAAGCTAATCCTTCATCTGTGGCACTGGCATCGTGGTTATTCTACTTCTGGACCAGCTCCTTGATAATGGCCTGAGAGAGCAGCAGAGGTCCAAGGTCTTGAGTACCTGCAGCCACATGGTAGAATTGCAAGAAGCTTCTGGCTCCCAGCTTTAGACCTGTCCAGCTCTAGCAGGTGTGGACATCTAGGGAATAACCAGCAATGGAAGATCTCTCTCTTTCTGTCTTTCCTTTCCCCCTACCCCCTTAACCCTGACTTTAAGTAAAATAAATAAATTTTTAAAAAAATCAAATAATAAGATAATCAGACTTAAATCCAATGAAACTATTAAGTGTAAATGACTCAAATATTTCAATTAAAATACAGAGATATTTCAGATCAGCTATTTTAAAAACTTTAAAAACTATTTTAAAATCTACCAATAGTTTCCTTAAATTATAAAGAAATATATAGGATTAAATCAAAAAGGATGAAAATAGATACACCATGCAAATTTATGTACAGAAGGAATTAGTGCACCTTTGAGTATTTTGATACTAAAACAAAGTAGACTTCAAATAAAGGAATATTTATTACTAGAAATAAACAGTCATTCATAATGTTATAATATATGAATACATCTTACTAAAAAGTATATAGCTATTCCTTGACTTATGTTCTGTCAAACCCAACATAAATTAAAACGTCAAAACTACATTCAATACAACTAACCTACAGACATCACTGTTGAGCAATCCAATACATCATGGTACATCATGTTTACCCTATGATCTTAGACCTCATTTTAGCTGTGACTTGCTGTTGCCCAGCAAGGAAAGAAAATAGTGACTATCACCAGCTCAATAAAGGTCAAAATTAAAATCTGAAGTATGGTTTCTACTGAATGTGTATCCTTTTGAAGTAGCTAAAAAATTATATGTCGACCCATTGTAAGTTGGGAATTATCTATACTTAAAAGCTGTTCATTCCATTGTAAATTGCATTGTAATTTTCAGTGGAAATCTGTCCAACTCCATTACAAATTACACTACGGTAAAAAAAAAAAAAATACATGTGAAAAGCCCTTGCCTTCAAAGAAATCACAACTTGGTTAAGTAAAATGACATAAACAAAGATATGCAAAATCAAAAAGTAATACAAAAGAAATTCAAAGCAGTATGGACCACAAATGAGAGTGGGAAGAAGGGGGAAAGAACTGCCTGCGAGCTTGAACGGATGGGAAAGCCCATATGGAAGAAAGTTGTTGGGGAAGTACAGCTACGGGGACAGAATGAGGGTGGGAAGAAAGTGTTGGGTAAAAGTATTGAGGGACAAGGCAGAAACTAACCTCCAAGTCCTCCCGCAGTTAACTCACTGATATTGACCGCTCGGAACAAGTCCACCCAATGGGAAGGAGTACAATCTTGTTTCACTAGATGAAAGTTGCAGATATTAAACTCCTTGCCTAAGGCTGTTGAACCTATAGGACTGGCTCTAGTGCAAGGAGCTGCGGGCATGTCAGACCCCAAAGCCCGAGTTGCTCCCAGGAAAGGGCATTTTCTATCTGAGACGACATTTGTTCAGCAACCAGCAAGCAGCTCTGTGGGAAAAAAAAAAGCCCTGGCCAGGTCCAGAAAGTGTCTTTTCTGAATTCACATGTTGAGCATTTTGCTCCACAGGAGGGAATAAACAGCTGACTCCACTCAAAGGGCTCTACTGATGTTCATAAACCATGAGGGTATTTATGTCATGGGCAGAGCTCCCCAAGTGAATTACAGCCTTTTACGCACTGTGTATGGTATTCACAGGACAAAGAAACAGGGCGTGTAAGGAATGCCACACTGACCCACCTCTCTTTCTGTGCTTTCTTTTTAAGCTTCTCCACCAATCTGAGACCTACACGTATGGGTAATTCTTTGGTTCTGTTTACCTATTACCTGGCCTTTTGACACAGTCCAGAGCAGTTACTCGATTTAAGAATGGAGCCCTTAAACTAGCACGAGCTGCTGGCTTTCTCCTTTATTACAATTAGATGGATCCATCTTAGCTACAGTTGAAAGCAGATTTCTTTCATGTTACTTCAGATGTTTTCTTTAGGCTGGTGCTAACATAAAGCAAATGTCTCTTGAGACTCTGAACCAATCTGTTACGATAAACAGGCTTCGCTTACGACTTTCCTACACTGAAATCACAGGCTTGTGGTCTGTAACTCCTTAAAGACTCAGCTCATAATGCTTGAATGTCCACATAAGAAACACACACACACACACACACACACACACACACACACACACACCCCAAGATAGCTTTACCATGGAAACCACAAAGCCGTGTCTGTCTGAATCAGACTCCAGAGCACATACCACAAATAATGGCCCATCTTTTAAGGGCAGATTCTATGTATACACAGGGAAAGCCCAGAAAATTAAACGATTGCAATATTTCAAATATAAGACTTACTTTATGATTCCTTCCTTCAAACGTTTTTCAAGATAGGTAAGTCTTAATCACTAGTTCTCTTTGGGCATATTTAGGTTTTCTTTTTCCTTAGAATTTCAGATTTGGGCACCATGGAAAAAAAAGGAAAATACAAGGCAGGAAGGCAAAACAACTCACATCACTCTGGTGGGATCTGGATTTCTAGAGAAAATCCCATTGGTTTTGTTTAAAAGAGTCCCAAGTCTGTTCTAAGTGAAGGTCTCATGTTACAGAAAAGTATGAGAAAAGGCCTCCCAGGGAAGGAAGGAAACCAGGGGAGATGGAATAAAAAGCAAGAAGTCCTAATCAAGAACATTCTATGTCTGGAAGGCCAGGCTTTGTTAGTTGGGACTTTAAAATGTCAAAAGTTTGCTATGATAAAGGTTTTATCTCTCCTGCTGGGCTACAGATTCCATGAAGCCATGGACAATCTCTAATTTGTTTCTCATTATACCTCCAGCATGGAGCACGGTGCCTAGGACATAGTAGATGCTGGATTGTAAATACCGGGTGGATGACTGAATGAAGAGGATGTTTAATCGTCTTCAGTGATGCGATGCTTTGGATCTGATTACCCTTCAGCTGGGCTCACAGGTGTGAGCATATGGTTGTTCAGATGATACAGTAATAATCATATGCACTCTAGGATCTATTTTTGGAAACTATGATTTTGATCTACTGCCGCTTCTAATCTAGGAGGCCAGAGTTTGTGGAGACTGAAGATACTAAAGTTTTACCTATGAAAAACACTGTTTATTTTCATATTTACATATTTCACATGATTGAGGGGGCAACCTTATACTCTGGGAAGTTGGTGGGCAACGGCTATATCCATAAAGTCCAAACTCCAGGTAGCTTTAACCTCCATCAGACCAACTATTTCCCTGGTGATTTTAATGGCTCTAAGCAGTCCAGGAATAAAAGGTCCCACTTTGGGCATTGGCTGTGGTTCATAATATAGAGATACAATGAGATAACCAATTCAAACAGATGTTCCCTATGAAAAAATGACTACTGAATTCAAGTATCATCTAATTAGCAACATTTCACTTTTTGTTTTTATCATCACCTGCATTTTCCAATTAAACATATATGAAAGGAGCTGCCCAAATTTTCATCATTGCCACCACCTACCCATAATTTTAATTCCTATTTTTAGTACTTTTAAATAATAATTTCTAATATTTAATACTTCTTTAGAGAGTAAGATTTTCCATAAATTCCACAATCCATTTTTAAAAGCAGTCATGACTAGTTTTAAAGATCAACAGTAACAGTAGCAAAAGGAAACCCTTGCAGATGTAGGTCAGTTTCTTCCTGGTGAGGTTAGATAAGGGAATTGGCAAACATTTTCTGGAAAGGGTCAAGCAGGAAATATTTCTGTGCTGCAGCCATGTGGTCTTTGTTGCAACCACTTTCTCTGTTACTGTAGCATGAAAGCAGCCACAGGTGATAAGAAACCAGCATTGCTGTGCTTCAATAAAACTTTTCTTGCAAAAACTGGCATGAGACAGGATTTAGCCAGTGGGTAGTAGTTTGCCAACCCCTAGAGTAAAAAAAAAAAAGTTCCTCCGTATGGAAGACCATGACAGGTTGACTTACTTTGCTCTTTTGGCCATTTCATTTCCATCCCATCTGGGGCTGTATGGATAATTTTTCTGAGCTTGGGAGTAAAGCTGTCCACTGTTGGTAAAATGATAAACGGACTGAAATGTGAGAGTTGGCTGGTCTCGAGGGAAAAACAGGGGCAGGTCAACTGTAAAGACAGAAGAAAAGAGAGTTAGATCTAAAGCACTTCTTATGGCAGTGTTTTGCTAAATTACAAGGTTGTGTACAAGACTTATAAGACGGTATTTGAATCACAAATACTGGTTGAGGTTTAGATAAAAGGTATGGGGAAAGGACCAAGAAATGTAAGGGGTCTTTCCTGCTACTTTCCAAAATTTTATCATCTCCAGTGGCAAATGTAACTCACAGGCTAGTGTAAGCATCAGAAGGTGTGGTCTGCAGATGCGGACAGAGCACTATAGGCTCAGGGCAGAGGTAGGACCAACACCCCTGCCTTCCGAACTTCTCGATCACTTACCTTGTCCAGTATTCTATCTCAGGGTTAGCTGGGCTCTTGTTTAGTATCTGTAATACTTTAAAGGGCTGTAGAAGATCTTCCTCATCTAGAATTTGATGGAGGAAGTGGGCTTGAGGCTGTTTTCAAAGAATGAGTTTGAAAAAGGGCAGGTGAGGGCACGTGAGGACTGTTCTATTTCACAGGACATGACAACTACATCACCAGAAAAGAAAGTCACCACTCTACTTCCAATCAAGCTGCACATTTTGATACTCAGCAGTTTCCATTTTCTCCCATATGCGCTGCCACGTGTATTTATATCTCCTAAATCAGTGGGAGTTCCTGAATGGAAGGCAAAGGTGGCAAATCTAAGGCACTAAATACGTCTCCTGTCACAGTGTAGGCTGATTCTAATCTTTGCTGTTAACACATATTACGTGTCTTACCTTTTCATCTTGGGGTTCCTTTAAACTCAATTTTTAAAAACAAGGTGACTTGCTATTTTTAGTTGAGGCAAACCATCATGAAAAACCCAGATTGCTTCAACAGCACATGCTTAAATATGTATAATGTGTATTCATGTGATTGCTACACATTTGCAGGACAAAGAACAGCTACATTATTAAAAAATAACAAGAAAATATGTACAGTAGCTTCTAGTCTCACAGGGTACTTTAATGTGCTTTATCTGTTACTTAAAATTCCATGAAAGAGATATTATTTTGCCGTCTGCATTTAACAGATGAGCAAACTTGAGACTTCAGAAAGTTTTTTAACTTGCTTGTGTTATGGCTATGCAGAACTAAGACTCAAATCTAGTCTCATGAGTCAAACCCCAGGTTCCTACCATGCCACACTCCCTTCTCCTGGTTCTGAAGCCGCAGGTGTGACTGTTACAACTCACCCATCATGTTCTAATCACAAGGTTATAACTGAAGGGAAGTCTCCACTGTGAAAGATGCACAGGTTTGTCTTATCGGCTGAATGAAGTGGAAATATTTTTAAAATATGCCCTATGCACTCTAGATAATTCTGTGTCCATCGCCGTTTGGACTAGGCCCTCTATAGTACTTAATATGATTCTTTAAGGAAAAGGTTTACAGCCAGCTTTTAAAAAGAAAAACCAACCAAAAACTCCCAAGAAGCAAAAACTGTCCAGTTGGTAGGGCCTACTTGCCCTCTGAGTATACTTGACTCTGATGATGTCTGACTCAGCCCTGCAGGGGGTTTCTACAGATGAATCACATTACAACCAAAGAAAGGAGGCAAGATCGTGAATGTCCACTGTTTAGTCACATTCTTCAAGTGCCCAAAATAAGACATTCTTAGTCTATCTATTTATATCCAAGAAGTTTTCAGAATATACAGGAACAACAGAAACCATGAAACAGAGTAATTCAAAGTATACATATTTCCACACAGAAACCCCTTTTTGAATCCTTTAAAATCACAAAGCATAATCTGTAACATCTTCAGTCACTCTGAACAAATAGAATTTTTGTAAGTTCTTGGATAACTCATTTCATGTCCTTTGATTCATTTTAGGGGAAACAGTGCCTATCCACAAAGCTTTCATTGCTGTTACATTATAGAGAGTTCCCAAATACAAGATTCAGATAAACTCCAAAATAACCATTAGTAGCAGGAAAGTGTTTAACACGTGAAGTTCCCTATAAAAAAAAAAAAGCAATGCTTTTAAATACCAGAATCCAAAGGCACTTATTTAGAAAGTTCAAGTAAAAACAGTCAGTGCTCAGGACAAAAGCAATGCAGGCAATGTCACAGGCTAGATGACCTCAAGCTACCAGCCTTGGGGAGGCTTTAGACTGCATCACTTTTTGTTCTCACTGCTTTATAGAGAATGAATTTGCTGGTATTTGTATTTGTTATACTAAACAGTAAATTTTCTACCTGTTTCTGAGACATTTTCTTTTATCCCCCCCCACTCAATTAGCATCAGAAATCATTCAGAATGTGAATAAAATTCACATTACATTCAAATTCACATTATGTGGCCAAGTGAGTTGTCCTGATGCTTTAAAAATGGCAGCAAGCTACAGGCTGATAAGCACCATAATCAGCTTCCCCCAAACACTGATTACACAATTTTTTCCTAGAGAGATTGATCTAACTAAATGGTTGAAACCAGGACCAAATTTGAGTACTTCTGCCACTGCAGTACATTGGGTCAAATTGCAGCATCCCATATGTACACCAATTTGAGTCTTAGCTGCTTCACTTAAAAAAAAATTATTAATTATCATTATTATCATTTTATGAAACAGTTTCATAGGCTTTGAGATTTCCCCTATTCCCACCCCAAAGCTCCTCCATGGGTCTTAGCCACTCTGCTTCTGATGTGGCTCCCTGTTAATGGGCTTGAAAATGCAGCAAAATGGCCCACGTGCTTGGACCACCACCTTACATGGAGACCTTTATGGAATTCCAGGCTACTGGCTTGGGTTGGCTCTGCTCTGCCTGTTTTGGCTACTTGGAGAGTGAACCAGCAGAGGTAAGGTCTTTCTTTCTCTATCCATGCCTTTCAAATAGATACACAAGTCTTAAAAAGAAATAAATCAAATACTTTCTCTGGATACACAGTAACTGATTAGGTAAACAGAAATGGATAGAGCACCTCAGAGAGTCAATCAACAATTCACCTGTGACTTCACATTAGGAGACAAAATATACAGAATATCAACTATTTTGCTCAACTTCAGCTGTACCTTATCTATATCATTCATAAAAATGTTTTATTCATAAGAATGAGTTAGCATCTAATATCATAATGAGAAACAGTTTTTCTTACAGAAACAATTCAGATGGTATGGACTAACCCAAATTTTTAAAAGGAAAAGCATGTTTTATTTATTCCTAAATATTTGTGCCACTTAAATTTTGCTTACAGGTTCACTTGTGATTTTATCATGCATAGTTAAGTAATTACCTTACACTTTGACACAGCTAACTTACTCTGCAGGAGCAATTTGGGCTCATATCTCTATCAACATCAAACAGTGTTATTTGCCTCCTTAGAACCCACTGGCTCCAGTTTGATTCCTGGAGTAGGATCCTTCCCTTTGGTTCAGTTACTTATGTGTAGGTATTATTTCGACAACCGCTTCTTACTTTCTTTCTTTTACATGGAGGTAGGAGTTTGGTCAGCTCTCTATCCCAGGAGGAGTGGTCCTTGCTTGTTCAGTAGAACGTCAACAACCATTTCTGAAGCACAACTCTCCTTGAGGACTTGTTGAAACAAATCCCACCAGACACTGCTGGTTCTGCACCGACTGAGCAGTTCTCAGGACACACTCCCAGCGCTCCCGTGGCCCGGGGGAGGTGGAAGGAATCAGCTCTGCAGCCAGTCTTATTCCAGACAGCTGCTGTTCTTGATGGTTCACTGGGTGCTGTTGGCACTCACAGGCAATGACCAGCTGGGCAGCTTTCATGGGAAGCTAAAGGCACTGAAAAATTGTGTTGTCTTAGTTCCAGGGGTGGGGAATGTCTGTCCTGTGGCCAGTGTGAGGCCTGGGACATCAGGTGGGTTGGCCTGGCTGAGGCAATCACAGGTGGAACTCAAAATTTAACACATCTTTGACAGGCTCATTTTTAAGTTGACCGTTTTGTATGGTCTGGGAATGATGTTATAAACATCCAAATGACCCTTGGCAGAAACAGGTTCCTCACTCCTTCAAGGTGAGGCTCAGATGGCTGACTGCAGTATTAAGCTTCCTTAGTAACAAGCTCACTGCCCCTAATCATTCACTGTTTCACCATAGCAGATTCCAGTAATGTATATCTAAGTTTAGTGATGCTTAGCAACTCCTCACCCCTCCAGAAACTTCTGGAATTGAAAACCAAACAGAAAGCAGTGAAAAGAAATGCCACACCACACAACTCACTCAGGGGATAGTCTGTCAGCTGCTTACATTTCTAACAAGCCTAGTTATATGATTATTACAGGAAAAAAAAACATGTTAATAGCAAGACGAGGACAAAGTGCTTAAAGGCAAGTACTAAGAGCTGGCAGTCTTGTACAAACAGGAGAACCTAATGGTCAACACAGAAATTATAGGGGCAAAGAGAATCCCAGGCTGCACCCCTTCCTCCTCAGCTAGGCCGACAGTGACCCTGACCCTAAGGAGTCTTGGTAAATGGCAGACACCCTTGGGTGTCTACCCAACCTTTTTCTCCTTCCTTCTTTCTGATCAACAGTGCCCTTCCTCCCACCCCAGTTTCAAGGGGTTGAGTCCTAATGCCCTTACACCTTCATAAACCAAGGCATGGAAATGTGATTCACTTCTACCACTGGGACCTGAGGGGAAGTCAGCAAGGGGTCTTCTGAGAGCTATTTTCCTCTCTGGTTAATGACATGTGGAAGCAGCAGTCCCCACAGCCACAGATCTCATCATGTGAGGTCTCGAGGCATGGCACTATTGTACCCATCTTATGAGCAAGAGGAGATGGTTGGCTTGGAATCAGTGAGCTATGCACTCTTAGTCCCTGGAACTGCCCAGCTCTGGGTTTCTTACTGATTGAGACAATTCCAAGTTTATTATTTAAATCTCTTTTAATCGAGTCTTTTCACATTTGTAGTCAAAGGCACTTGAGGAAATGTTACTTCTTGTAGTTTCTGTCCAAGAAAGTGGAATAGTTGTATAGTCTACTTCAGAAATATTTCCACCAAGCTT